CACACGTAGCGCCCCTAAGAGATGGCCACTTTAACCCACGCCTGCTAGGTCCGGGCAGCAATCGCAACATTAACATTACTACTGTTACTGGCCGCCTCCTTGGGGAATTTATATTCTATTTTAAGTAAAGTGTAAGCCCTAGGGGGAGGGGGGGGGGCGGCTAGTAGTAGTAGTAGTAGTAGTAGTAGTAGTAGAAGTAGAAGTAGTAGATGGTCAGAGTAACTGTTAATAGCGGCCGCCTCAGCTGGAGGAAGAGGAGCAGCAGCAGCAGCAGCAGCAGCAAAAGTGTCGTCGTCGTTGATGCTGTAACAACAAGCAGGCACACATAGCATGAGTAGTTGTTGTTGAAGGCATTGTTGCTGCTGCTAGTGTTCAAATGTTCTCCTTTCTGATCTTCTAGCAGCTCATGGCCACTCATAGCTACCATCATCAGCCCGGCTTCGTTGTCGAAGAACTTCTTCAGCACCTTCGCGAACGACTGGATTTTCTCCTCAGGGAGGTCCTGGGTGAACTCGTCGCTCTTGCGGAACTTCTTGCTGAACTCGTTCTGAGCCTGGCCCATGGAATTTGGGTCTGAGATTTGGTGTTTAGCAGGTTTAGGGCTTAAGTTGGGCTTGGGTGTTTAGGTTTACAGGAAGACGTTGTAGTAAGTTGTAGCCCTTCCCTGCGGGACTGACTTGCGCACATGAGAAGAAGATTTAAGTGGTGCAGGCCCGATCAGTCTTGGGTCTTCATCAAACAGCCTCATGAAGAGCAGTAAAAATCCGTAATCAGCGTGTTTTAGATCTACAGGCGTCTCCTCGGCATTGGCACTTCAAAGCGCAAGGGCCCTGTGCAAACAAAGCAACACACACTTCTAAACCCCAAGGCTCAACTGCTGCTGCTGCAATTTTGTTTGAACCCTGCCCCCAGACCAAAACACTCCAAAGCCTCAAGAGACCAAAAACAAAAAAAATAGGAACAAGTATGTGTGTATATATATATATACTACCCCATCATCTTGCAATTCCCCCAACAAAGCTGGGCTGACCTCTATCTATCCGGAAACCCAATACAGAATCCTGAAGTCCGTTCCTCTCAACCCTGTTCTCTATGCTAAAGCCGCCCCAATCCGTTTGTCAGCCATGAGCCCCGAACCTGTTATCTCGCTAAACCTGGACCCTCCAACTTCCGTTTCGTCATCCAAGTTCTTTCAACGTGGTTCCGCGTTGTTGACGGGATCTCAATCCGATAGCTCTCATTCAAACCCCTATGCCCTATGCCCTACCGCTCATGTAAAGTTTAGGGTTTGGGGGTTCCGGTCCGAACCCTAAATCCCCAAACTGATCCACAATCATTCTACCCATGTTCCACAATGAATCTCAAATCCTATTTCTTCAGCCACATCCCCTGAACCTTTTACACTTCACCCGTAAATCCCCAAGCCCTAGAAGAAGTCTTTACCCTAAATCCCAAGCCCCAAAATAAAACCAAAACCCGAAACCCTACATCCCTGCGCCCCAATCCCCAACACACCAAGCCCTAAAACACAACACCCTCAACCCTAAAACCCTAAACCTTCAAATCCCTCATCGCTGAAGCTCCTAAACTCCCCCGACCAAGGTAGGGATGTTACGAAACACATCCCTAGGAATAATAAGAAGATGCCATAGGGTATAATGTAGTTAGGACCCTAAGCCCCAAACCCCTAAATCCTCAAAAAACAAATCTCAAAACACAAAACCCTCAATCCTAAACCCCAAAAACCGTAAAACCCCAATCTGAGCCTTTTCCGACCTAACGTAGACCCGTGATTAATACAGTAGGCATTACAATAGGGATCCCAATAGTAAGGTCCTTGAAAGGAAGCAGTTCATTAATCACTAAACCCTAAACCCATAAACCCTAAATAGTAGTTTCCATTTCATTTTCCATTGTCCCAATACAACCCCAATACATACCCCATGATCCTCGTGTAGCCCATTATAGTAGTTTCCATTTTATTTTCCATTATCCCAGTACAACCCCAATGTATCCCCTATATAACCCTAATATACCCCCTATATAACACCAATATAACCCTTATATAACCCCCTATATACTCCCAATGTATCCCCTACATAACCCCAACATTTCCTCAAGCTAAACCCTAAACCCCTAAACCCCTAAACCCTAAACCCCTAAACCCCTAAAACCCTAAACCCCTAAACCCCTAAACCCAACCCTAAATCCCTAAACCTTAAACCCTAAACCGGCAAAGCTCCCAACCGGCCTGCTTCAGGAGGAGGGCCTGTTCATCCTTGCTCAGCGAGTCCTTCCACGTGTAGAAGTCATCCTGTGCTCAATTACGGATTTAAGGGCTTTAGGGATTTAGGCTTTAGGGTTTAGTAGAGTTAGGGATTTAAAGGCTTTAGGGATTCAGGCTTTAGGGTTTAGTAGGGTTAAGGATTTAAAGGCTTTAGGGATTTAGGCTTTAGGGTTTAGTAGAGCTAGGGATTTAAAGGCTTTAGGGATTTAGGCTTTAGGGTTTAGTAGAGTTAGGGATTTATAGGCTTTAGGGATTTAGGCTTTAGGGTTGAGTAGGGTTATGGATTTAAAGGCTTTAGGGATTTAGGCTTTAGGGTTGAGTAGGGTTAAGGATTTTAAGGCTTTAGGGATTTAGGCTTTAGGGTTTAGTAGAGTTAGGGAT